AAAAGTGGAGAAATCTAATTGTCCAAAAAGTGTGTCAAAACGTGTGTAAAAAATATGGTGCCATGGATCCGGCCCCTATATATATATATATATATATATATATATATATATTTATATTTATTTATTTATATGTATGTGAGCCCATGGGCCGGGCTTTTATGGCCGGCTGGGCCAGACTTTCATGGGTTCAAACGAGTAGGGCCTATGAGTCGGGGCGGGCTTTAGACACCTAAGCCCAAGCCCGATCCACTCAACAATTGGCAGGGCCGAGTCGGGCTTTTTCTCGATGGACCGGGCCGGCTCCCATTGGCCCGTGGGCTCGTAGGCCTAAGATGACCCCTACATTTGGGCACAAATCAGACGTGGCAACCTCCAACTTTGAACCGCCATGGTGACCTTTTAAATTACTCCACGTCATTAAAAACACCCACGTCAGCAACGCCACCTCATCACTTAACGAGGTTCCTGACGAACTAAGTGACAGATGGTGTTTTATGAAAGGATTCACAAAATTCATATACTAGTCAAATGGGTCAACAAAAGTTGGATATGAGTTTGTAATTACCCATATAGGTTGAGTTTACTGTAGTTAATCAAAAAAATTATTAGTCTCATTGTGATATTGGTATATTTTGGTGTAGTATTTTGTAAACTTAATTTATAGGGAATTATTTTGTTTGGCATAGCATTACTCTTTTCAATGGGTTAATTATCAGACCTCACACTTTTGTCATTGCAAAACAAAATATTTTTCCTATTGAGAGACAACTCATAAAAATCCATTTCACATAGTGACCATAATTAAGCCCAAAAAAACCGTGACCATAAGTAAGCCAAAAAACACGTGACCATAATTAACCAAGTAACACGTCTCACGTATTGCAAGTTTTCCTTATCATTGAATCTTAAGAACTATAAAATTTACCATCATGTATAAACGTACATAAGAAGAGGATGTTAGAAAAGCATTCTCATGAGGACAGCTGGGGAAATGGAAACCCAAATAAATTAACACAAGGCTTTAATTTACAACTTAATACTGATTTGCCAGGAACACTTCAGGCCAAGGATTGACTGAGAATTTAAGACAGGAGACAATAGAAACCCAAGTGAAAGAAGAAAAAAATAAAATCTAAAATCCTCTGTTTCTATTGATCTGATTATATCGAAATCGAATCAAACTACAGCAGCCATTGACGAAAAAGAACGGATATGATACTGGTATCTCTGTAGATAGGAGATGAAAAAGAAAAAAAAAACGTAAAATTCATACATCAGTCAAGATTAAGGAAGATACAATCACAACATATGCCAGAAAAAAGAAAATGGCTATCTGCACGTAGAACTTTGGATTTTCCCTCATGTTTGGGGATGTAACCGCCCTGTAAACCAAGACCACACGTTCTAATTGTTAAAGCTGAAAATAAACAAATGAAATTGAAGAAAACGGAGGATAAAAAGAAACTAATTCAGCTCAAGTTCTTGACTATGCTACGGAATTTATGATTGCAAGAAAATGCTACCTGGCAATGCGCTGAGAAAATCGATGAAAAGGTAAACTCTGAATGAAGACGATGCCTGGTCCGGTTAGAACAGCCGTTACCAGATTGTCACTCTGTGATTTGACAACTGTTAGAAAAACTTGATTCATGGAAATTGGAAACAGAAAGAAATAACATACTTCAGAACTAAGATATAAAATTTGGGGAGGCAGAAAGCATGTTAGATCGGGGTTTTCAACATGGAAGTGGGGATCCAATAATAACTTTATTTACAATGAAAAACACTTTTTCAGCACAGCAATAGTTTGCAACTAAACAAGGATCATGCTAATTTGGTTATCTCTGTAGTCCAAGCACTTCCTGAATCTTTCTTGTCGCTGGCACTGGCAGCCCACCATATTAATACAAGGAAGTGCTCTGGACCTTTGCGAATGTAATACAAGCCAACTACGTGGTAGAAATACAAGCACTAGAAAAAAGAGTGCAAATTTCAAGAAATTGAAGCAACTTACGCCAAACAGTGCTCTTCTCATGGTACCATTGAATTTGATTTGGATATTGACTGTTCCAGTCACGGCAGCTATACAAGACACATCAACAGATAGTACTTCGCCCACCTCAAGATTTTTCTGTACAACTAGCAAAAGGAGAAACCATAAAGACTCTAAGGTTAGTCTGAGGATCATAATTCCCTCAATAACTTAATCCCAACTAATTCAATTTTTCCAAGAAGGGATTGATGTTTTAACTTTATTTTCTCATAATAGAAAAAAGAAACTATAAAACAGTATAGTTTAGAATCCAAAGGCAACAAGTTAGAGCAAAAACAGAAAGCAGAAGGGTAGAAAAAAAAAAAAGTAATCTGATTTGGCAAATACATGAACCTGAACATTTAAATTGATATTTAGAAACCAAGAAAACAACTGAACGGGATATGGGAAACACAGCACAACATGGAAATGAACCACTAAGAAAATTTAAACCTTAGATTGCATAAAATGCCTTCAACTTAATGCTAGAAATAAAAGTTCTCTGCATAATTTGGGGCAGTCCCAAACTCTTAATAGGCTGAATCTGAAATTTGAAGACTTATTATTGCATCAAGAAATGCATACCAGATCCACCTCCAAGTATAAATGCGAGACCTCGGCCAGACAGCTTCTGTCTTAGAAATCCCTATAGTAATATTAACACGGAAGTTAGATAGATAAAGATAATATAAATGGCTCTGAGAAATGAATTGAAGAGACAAATTTGAAAAAAGGAAAAGAGAAATTGGTTGATTGTAGGAGCAAGCAAAGCAAACAAAAAAGAAGCATTTCTGAAACTCCCCCAATATCTCACCTCTGGACCAGGAATAACATTACGTGCCCTTTGATCAATTGTGTTACTGACTTTAACATCACTGACAGAACAAAGGAATGCATCTGGCTACAAAAGGTAGAAATGAAGTCCCATAAAAAATCCAGCTGATGAACACAAGTATGATTTGATTCTAATAGAAAGCGTGGAGTATCCTAAATTGTGTATTGAAAATTGGGAGAATAACAAAAACTGGCGGAAACAATTACTCAATGAACCAGAGACGGACAAGTTATATACCTGGCACAAAATCTCTCCACCAAACATAGCCAAATCAATCTGTAAAAAGAAGAAAAGCACAGGTGACCAAAACTAAATTAAGTTATATACCGTGGTTTGATCAAGAGCAACACAAAAATTAATTTAAATGCCTTATCCACATAAATATGGAATGCTTAAAATCACAAACCGGGAGAACTCTTGCAAGAGTAGGTGCGCCAATCCCGACAAACCCATCACCTTGACCAGCATTACGAAAAGTTATGCTGCTGACTGTCTTCCCAAAAAGCCACTGCCACATGCCTCCTTCATTTTCAGGAACAAAAACATTTTCCATCTCGATCGACCCAGACATGAAGCACATTGAACCTAAAATTTATTCATTCATCAGTTGCACAGCAATAGTAACAAGAAATTACATGTTCTCTAAGTTCGCAGAAAAAGGACAACTTGATTGTGGCAATTATAATGCACATTATAAAAAGTAAAAGCCCAGGCTTGCAACTTACCAGGCTTCGCGATAACCTTTTCTTCTGGCTTCAACATTATCTGATAACACAAGAATCACAGACAGAAGAAGGTTAGTGAGAAAAAGCAATTTGAAGATGCAGGAGAAAATAGAGACACACACACAAACACACAATAATATAGGTTGGGATGCTTATAGCATATACCTGAACCAGTTGAGCTTCACCTCCTAAAATTTGAAAAGGTACCACAGCATCTTGTTGACTCTACAGTACAATATAGAACATTACACAAACATCATAGACTGTTAAGTAAATGCACAATCCAACTTTATTTTGTTGTAAAGCTACACACAATTAAATTCGAACAGAGCAAACCAGATACCATAAATCAGAGTAATGGGCATAAACAAAAGATAACTACCAATAGCCACCAACAATGAGACATTTCAATTCAAAATGTATTATAGATTACCATGTATCAAAATTACAAAGTTTCGACCAAAAAAAAAAAATGGAAATAAGTGAACACAATCCTCCAAACACGAAAAAAAGAACAAAAAAATAAAAGGTTTCTTGCGACAGAAAGTATTCAATTCAAAGTTTGTCTCACTATTCACCAGATTTCCCAGTAGGAGCAATTTTCGGAGACCTATTAGGAAGAAATAAAAATCTTAAAGAACATGTATCTTGGTTTACCGCATATGTTAATAACGCTATACAATTAAATATCCAGTCACCATTGTTCTTCATAGTAGTGCTGGTGGTACTTGTAGAAATATAAATGCATAGTTACAGATTCCCCACTGTATGGTACCTTTCTTCAGTTTCTTTTCCCTTTCTTTTCCCAAATCCTATTTCCTCAAAAACATAGTATAGAAGGGATATGTGATTTACATATAAACTCTTTGAAAAGCAAATGCAACGTAAACTAGAGTATGCTTCATGTCTCTTAAATAATTGACAAAGTTAACAACGGTAAAGCAGTTCTTTTATAGAAACCATGGCTATACAAGATTCAAGAAACGAACATAATTGTCAATTTGAATAAAAGTCTTAGCACAAGAATGTCTCAACCAAAATTTGTAAGATTTCCCCAATTCAACTGCATCATAATCATCATGCACATAATTCCATAAAAGTATTTTGAAAAACCCAACTTGACTAGCACATACTCCATTATCTCAGATACAGACACAACATGAGTTACATGACTTTATAGTTTGTGGCTCTGTGCATGCACAACTTTGTTCCTCTGAGTCCAAAAGCATTCAAAGATGCTAATTTATGTTTGATTTCTGTTCTGGAAATAACAATTTCCCAAAGAGTTCTTTGACACTCCCATGCACCAGTGATTGGCAATTCGTCAAATAATTATCTATATGTTCCTGGAGCTAGATGCCAGTCCCAGTGTGCAGTTGAGCTTAGCTTGCCCCAAAGTCAAGGTGTTGGTTCCATAACAAGTCACTAACAAGTGGCTGAGTATCTAGGTTTGGGGAAGAAGTTATCGGTTAATGGTGGCACAATCAAACCATGCATGCAGCAGTATCTATCACCTCACCTGACTTCAAATAATTAGGCACGTCAATGCAACCGACATGTTAATTCCATAATGAACCTCTAACCACCCAAATCTGGATCGCTCAAGTTGGAATATGAGTTTCAAGATCATGCACGTGAGCCATACAGTCAAAGATCAGAACTTTTATCATATCAACATTTCCATGGAGCAAATCCATGCCAATCTACCTTTTATGGCATTCAACTTATTGTCTACTTGCATTTTATATTTTCCTACTAAACCCGTGTACCCATCATTTCTTCCTAGCCAAAGGCAGACGCATCTACATATCTATACACTGAACACTATCTAAACAAATCTTAAACATTGAATTAGACTTTGCAAGTAAATACGCACCAGTTGATCCCCAGGAATCAATTTTTGTATTTACCCCCCCCCCCCCCCCCCCAAAAAAAAACCCCTAAAAACCCGAAATAATGAGCTGAAAAATCCAATGCTTCATTCAGTCTCTGCAATTAAGCAATCAACTGAATTGACCCACATAACAGATGCGGACACAAATCAACTTTTTATCTTTCTCAGGCTTTCTCGCAAAGCAAACAGATGTCAAATACCAAATTCATGTTCTCTAAAAACACAAAATAAGAACTGTAGAGGGACGGAAAAGAGTACCTGGTACACGTACGGCTGAAAAGGCGTCGAGAAAAACGGTGCAGCCATGGCGAAACCGCAGAGGAAGATGATCAGCTCTGAATGGACGAAGATCAAGCAGAATTGATGAAATCAAATCCTTCAATTTGGCAATTTCGACAACTGCTCACTACGGCATTTGATTTTGCCCACTGTTCTTTTATTTTACGAACCAAAAACCAATTTCATTTTTCTTCTGGTCTTTTATTTTTCTTTGTTTATTTATACCGCCTTTTTAGGGGTACAGTAATAAATAAATAAATTTCCGTGATGTATCTGTGCCTAATAAATACTAGTGCGACAAATTTCAATAACTTGAAGTGACTGAATTAACCTTCTCTTGGAAGTTTTATTACGCCTTTAGGTGGAAGCACTCTATAGTTTTGGCAGTGGCAATTTTGTCAGTCTGGGTTAGTGGAATGTGCACTCGTTGACTTATCTGACGTGGCGGAGTTTGATTGAATGGAATGACAAATCTCTCTTCTTCTTTTTTCTTTCTTTTCAGAATTCTGAAATTCTTTTTTAGACTTTTTGTATTTGAACTTTTCATTCTTATGAGAACACCCCATTCTATAACTTCAATAAGAATTTGTGTTAAGGACTAGCCTCTTGGGATGACCAATTAATTAATTACAAATTTATAAATAAACCCAATCCTAGACATGTATTTATAAAAAAACTCAAGCACTATTTAAACATAGAAACACACCCAAAATTAACCCCAAAGTCAACTTTTTGGGTGTGTTTATAAATGGGTTTTGAATGTGTGTAATGATGGGTTTTGGGTGTGTTTATATGTTTAAATAGTGCTTGGGTTTTTTTATAATTTCAACCCCCATTTTGGGTGTTTTATCCAATGGGGGCTCAATTGTAAAGTTTTTTTTTAATTTATTTTTTTAAGTACAAATAATAGTCTAAACTATAGAAGAGGAGGATTTCTCACAGATGCACACAAATTATGCTATGGGGGTTCAAATCTAAAACCTCGTGTCTGCACCCTTTTCTACTGGGCTAGACCCGTTGACAATTGTAAAATTAATCTCCTGCTTATTGTAACTTCATATGATATATCCTTATGAGTTATGGCAAGAAGGGTGCATAATTGGATTGAATCTATATATATATAACTGTGGTGCCTTAATCATAAAAATTTTATGATTAAGAACTTGGATCGTGTGGTCAAGGGCTGTCCATGTAATGTCTATCACAATTTGGTTATATTCGGTTTCATGATTGGAAACATATATGGAAGGCTTGATTTATCATAGAGGGGCCACTCTGGCTTCTTTTCTGTACACCAATAGTGGTTGTGGTCAATGTTAGAATTTTGAGTCAAAATATAATACAATGATCTATCTCATGTTAACGATGCTCTTCATGTGTGTTCTTTGCATAAAATCTCTAAATTAGGCATCAAAGTTTAGCTTTTGCTTTGTACTCAGTCTTTTAATCTATGCACTGAATTTTTATTATTTAATAGAACGTGGCCGCTGCTGGGGAAAGAGAGTTGGAAAGACTGAAGGCTGAACTGAGGGCCAGCAATGCTCTCGAACTGCAGGTTTAGCACCCATATGTCTTATCATATGCCTTCCCATATAACTCAAGTTTGTAGCTTGAGACTTATCTATCAGCATGTCAGCAAACTTTGGTATTGCAAAGGAGAGAGGTATTTTTTTTGGCATTAGCATATATTTTTCTATGCGTACAAGTTTATTACACTCCCACCTAAATTCCAACTGAGATGTGCAGTATTAAGTTATCTTCTCTCTTTTCTGTAGCTAGAGATGCTGACAAGGATTGAAGGCAGGCTTAGCACGTTGAATTTGAATTGAAGGTACGCTACTGTTTTAAGTTCACAAGGCAAATCCACGGGCTTTTATCTAATGTTTTTTTATTTCTTTTTTATTTCTGTGAGCAGGATCTCGCAATTTGAACATTCAAAAATTAAAGAAAACTCACTTCACGCATGCAGGGGTTCGAACCCCTTCCCCATTTTAAGGTCTGCAGCCACTTAATCATCATGCCAATTATCACTTTGTGATAATAAGCTATGAAATATGTATTTATAATACATGCGAGCTGTTTCTCAAAATAGAAATTAACATAATTACTTATCATCAGTTACTTAATTACTTAATATAATTTATTTCTTTTCTATTTAATCCATTTAATGTTATTGATTATTTTATTATTCTTTATAAGTACTTACATTACTAAATTCCTCTTCAAATTGTTGCTTAATTACTTAAATTTCTATAATTATTTTCTTTGTTTACTATTAATTCTTCATTTGATAAATTTATTTATGTTCTTAGTTAATTTTCAATCTTCACTATTATTTTTTATACAAATTTATAAATAAACCCAATCCTAGACATGTATTTATAAAAAAACTCAAGCACTATTTAAACATAGAAACACACCCAAAATTAACCCCAAAGTCAACTTTTTGGGTGTGTTTATAAATGGGTTTTGAATGTGTGTAATGATGGGTTTTGGGTGTGTTTATATGTTTAAATAGTGCTTGGGTTTTTTTATAATTTCAACCCCCATTTTGGGTGTTTTATCCAATGGGGGCTCAATTGTAAAGTTTTTTTTTAATTTATTTTTTTAAGTACAAATAATAGTCTAAACTATAGAAGAGGAGGATTTCTCACAGATGCACACAAATTATGCTATGGGGGTTCAAATCTAAAACCTCGTGTCTGCACCCTTTTCTACTGGGCTAGACCCGTTGACAATTGTAAAATTAATCTCCTGCTTATTGTAACTTCATATGATATATCCTTATGAGTTATGGCAAGAAGGGTGCATAATTGGATTGAATCTATATATATATAACGCAAAAGACAGAGAATGGTAAAACATTCAAAATACCAGAAAATGTCATTAGTTAATACAAACATTAAGAATTGAAATTATTAATTAAATGAAGATAATATGGTAAATTCACACTTTTTTATATTAAAAAAATAAAAATTAGATAATGAATCTTATTTTTATGAAACACAACTACCTATTATCTTTTTTATTTCTGCTATTAATTTAATTTTTTTAATTATAAATAAAAAATAAAAATAAAAATAAAAAAGCTTCTCGCAAACGCAAAAGCGTGTGCGGAAAGACTAGTAACCCTCATTTATCAACTCATTAATTGCTTAATGCGTGGAGTGATGGAATCTCCACTAACCAACCGTTGTAACCAGTTAGCTTGAGGATAACTCTGTTGGGCCTTATCATCTACTTACATATTGTTTGGGCTTTTAATAGGTGTGTAGACCCAATAGGTAATTTGCTTGTTTACGAGTCTAATATATGTGCGTACAGACGAGTCATTTTATAGTATTTTTTAACCGTTGAATTAAACTAACCAATTTGATCTAACATCTAATTAATTTGATCATGTAGAATTCTACTACAGAATAAGACGCTCACTATAGAATTCTACTTATGGAGTTGACAATATTGTTATCAGATCATATATTAAATGGAAAGTGTCCTTGAAAAGAAAAGAAGAAAGAAAAGGAAAGAAGGTAAATCTGATTTGATATCAAAATTTATACAAGAAATCTGATTAGACATTTGACCCAAAAGAAAGACAAAAAAATCTGGATCACCCTAGCATATCAATTGGTTCAGGTATATATATTTGTAACTCTCCATGTATGTCAATTGGCCTAACTAACTCAAGTTTTTATTGACTATCATGTTGGTGGTTTTTAATCAGTCATGTTCACCAAAGCGATTATCAAACGAAGTAACTCAGATAATAAATACAAATGAAGTTTCGAGTAGACTCAAATTTTGTTCTCTAAATAATATGGCAGATACATACACTCCCTCATATAATGTCTTGTTTGATAAATATGAATGTGATTCTGAGTGAATCCAAATTCAATGAGTAAAACATTATATCATCATATTCACCTGAGTATGACATTCCTCTAACTTTGTGTCATGGTAATTTTGTACAATTCATTGTTTTGATTTTCTAGTTCAGAATATGAATTTTATTATTTTGTAATCGTTGATATGTTTTTTTTTCGTAGCTAATTATATGGGGGGTAACGGTAGTGGAGAATAGGTGCAAAAAGGTGTTGTAAGATGTATCTCGCAGCAAACAAAGTTGAAATTCACTAGAATGGCCAACTGATCTGTTTCTTAATACTTAAACACCACGACAGGATTAAAATACTGTAACAATCCTGTAAGCAAAAATTCCAGAATACACAGAAGAATAAATTTAAATAAAAATGCAAACAATTACACAAGGGACACACTGCTAAAATATGAAAACTATGAGAGAATATTTGTTTGTGAGAATTTTCTATATATTATTTTCCTTGTAGGAGGTCATATTTATAATACAACGAAACCTGAATGGGCAAGTAAATAATAAATTCCTAAATTTATTTACAATAGGAAATCAAGAATTAAAGTAAATCAATTATAATTATAATATGAATTCTTGGGGTGTAAGGAAAGTAAGTCAATATCCACAAGTCACGCCAACACTCCCCCTCACATTGGTGCATAGATGTCGCCAATGCCCAATTGATCCAGTGAATTGTGGAATGCTTTACTGGAAATCGCATTTGTCAAATTGATCCTCGGATTTCACAAATAGAAATTGAAACACTTTAGCCTCAAGCTTCTGTTTGATGAAGTGTCGATCCACCTCAACATGTTTAGTACGATCATGCTGAACTGGATTTTGTACAATGGCTATAGCAGCCTTGTTGTCACAAAATAGATTCATTGTAGATGTAGGTTTATACCCAAGTTCAGTAAGCAACTTTCTTAACCAAAGAAGTTCACAAATCCCTTTAGTCGTGCCTCTAAACTCGGCTTCTGCACTGGATAAAGCTACTACATTCTGTTTCTTGCTCCTTTATGTCACCAAATTACCTCCAACGAATGTAAAGTAACCCGATGTGGATTTTCTATCTGTTACATTACCTGCCCAATCTGTATCTGAATAACCATCAATATTTAGATGACCATGCTTTGAGAACATAAGTCCTTTTCAAGGGTTGTCCATTTAATTGTTGGAACTTCAGGTTCTCAACACTGTTAGATTTTGAACTTCATGCCAAAGTCACATACTCTCATGGTATGGACATTTTTATAATTTTCTGTACATATTTCGGGACTTCAAGCCCTTAAATAATTTTTCATATTTTGAGGAACTTCTAGCATCTCATTTAATTGCTCATCCATGAGTTTA